TTCATTTCAGTTATTGTACTGTTCATCTCTGTTTGTTTGTTCTTTAATTCTTCTAGGTCTTTGTTAAACATTTCTTGCATCTTCTCGATCTTTGCCTCCTTTCTTTTTCTTTGGTCTTGGATCATCTTCACTATCATTATTCTGAATTCTTTTTCTGGGAGGTTGCCTATCTCCACTTCATTTAGTTGTTTTTCTGAGGTTTTAATCTTGTTCCTTCATCTGGTACGTAGTCCTCTGCCTTTTCATTTTGTCTGTCTTTCTGTGAATGTGGTTTTCGTTCCACAGGCTGCAGGACTGTAGTTCTTCTTGCTTCTGCTGTCTGCCCTCTGGTGGATGAGGCTATCTAAGAGGCTTGTGCCAGCTTCCTGATGGGACGGACTCATGGTGGGTAGACCTGGGTGTTGCTCTGCTGGGCAGATCTCAGTAAAACTTTAATATGCTTGTCTGCTGATGGGTGGGGCTGCGTTCCTTCCCTGTTCGTTGTTTGGCCGACTCCGGGAGGGCTCACGCCAAGGAGTACTTCCCAGAACTTCTGCTGCCAGTGTCCTTGTCCTCGCAGTGAGCCAGAGCTGCCCCCCGCCTCTGCAAGAGACCCTCCAACACCAACAGGCAGGCCTGGCTCAGTCTCCTATGGGGTCAGTGCTCCTTCCCCCTCGGTCCCGATGTGCACACTACCCTGTGTGTGCCCTTCAAGAGTGGAGTCTCTGTTTCTCCCAGTCGTGTCAAAGTCCTGCAATCAAATTCCGTGTGCCTTCAAAGTCTGATTCTCTGGAAATTCCTCCTCCCATTGTCAGACACCCAGGTTGGGAAGCCTGACATGGGGCTCAGAACCTTACTCCAGTGGGTGGACCTCTGTGGTATAATTGTTCTCCAGTTTGTGAGTCATGGGATTTGATTTTATTGTGATTGCGCCCCTCCTACTGTCTCATTGTGGCTTTTCCTTTGTCTTTGGATGTGGGGTATCCTTGCTGAGTTCCAGTGTCTTCCTGATGATGATTGTTCAGCAGTTAGTTGTGATTCTGGTGCTCTTGCAAGAGGGAGTCAATCTACAGATTTAATGCAATCTCTATCAAAATACCCATGACATTTCTCAAAGAACTGGAATAAATAATACTAAAATTTATACGGAACCACAAAAGACCCAGAAATGTCAAAACAACTGTGGGGAAAAAGAACAAGGCTGGACGCATAATCATTCCAGACTTCAGACAATACTACAAAGGTACAGTAATCAAAACAGCGTGGTGTTGGTACAAAAACAGACATATAGATCAACGGAAAAGAACGCAGAGCCCAGAAATAAACCCACACACCTGTGGTCAATTGATCTACGACAAAGGAGGCAAGAATATACAATGAAGAAAAGACAGTCTCTTCAACAAGTGGTGCTAGGAAAGCTGGATAGCTACATGTAAATCAGTGAAATTAGAACCTCTCATCACACCACATACAAAACTAAACTCAAAATGGTTTATCATGACACCATAAAACTCCTAGAAGAGAATACAGACAAAACATTCTCGGACATAAATCGTAGCTGTATTTTCTTAGATCAGTTTCCCAAGGCAAAAGAAATAAAAGCAAAAATAAACAAATTGGACCTAATCAAACTTAAAAGCTTTTGCACAGCAAACGAAACCACTAACAAAAGAAAAAGACAACATATGGAATGGGAGATAATATTTGCAAACAATATGACTGACATTAGTATCCAAAATATATACAAACAGCTCATACAACTCAATATCAAAAAAACGAACAACCCAATCAAAAAATGCACAGAAGTAAGTAGACATTGCTCCAAAGAAGATACAGACAGTTCCCCAAAGAAGACATTCAGATGGCCAACAGGCACAGGAAAAGATGCTCAACTTTGCTAATTATTAGAGAAATGCAAATTAAAACCACAATGAGGTATCACTTCACACCAGTCGGAATGGATGTCATCAAAAAGTGTACAAATGATAAATGCTGGAGGGCGTGGAGAAAAGGAAACTCTCCTACACTCTTGGTAGAAATGTAAATTGGTGCAGCCACTATGGAAAACTGTATGGAGGTTCCTTAAAAAACTAAAAGTAGAGCTACCATATGATCCAGCAATCCCACTCCTGGGCATGTATCCAAAAAAGATGAAAACTCTAATCTGAAAAGATACATGCACCCCAATGTTCATAGCGGCATTATTTACAATAGCCAAGACATGGAAACAACCCAAGGCCCATCAACAGACGACTGGTTTAAGAAGATGTGGTATATGTCTACAATGGAATACTACCCAGCCATAAAAAAGAATGAAATATTGCTATTTGCAACAACATGAAACAACCTAGGGAATATTATATTAAGGGAAGTCAGACATAGAAAGATAAATATTATATGATATCACTTAAGTATGAAATCTAAAAAATAATACAAATGAATCTATCTACAAAACAGAAACAGACTCAAAGACACAGAAAACAAACTTATGGTAATCAAAGGGGAAAGGAGGGGGGAGGGATAAATTAGAAGTATGGAATTAACAGATACAAGTTACTATACATAAAACAGATAAACAACAAGGACTTATTGTATAGCAGAGGGAACTATATTCAATATCTTGTAACAACCTGTAATAGGAAATAATCTGAAGAAAAAATATAACTGAATCACTTGTTGTACATCTGAAACTAAAACAATATTGTAAACCTACTATACTTTAATTAAAAAAAATATATAAGTAGCTTTCTCCATGCCTGATAATGCTTTCTTTTCCCTTGAAGTCTATTCTCTCTGATATGAATATTAACTATCTCAGCTTGCCTTTGGAGAATATATGCCTAGTGTATCTTCATCTTTTCACTTTCAAACTTTCTGTATCCTTAGGTATGTTCCTCATAAAGAACTTTTTGCTGGCTTTTTTTCCAATTTGAATCCTTTCTTTCAACTGGAGAGTTTAGCCCTTTATCAAGCACTGTCAAAAATCTAATCCCAGTAGCACTTCCTTGGCTTCTGCCAGGATACGCTAGCCAAATCTTACCTTTTTTGATGTGTGGTCTTTCTTCTCCCTTACCAGGCCCAGCACATCTGCAGCCAGGATTTGCTAGGATTTAACCCTAGTTATACGCCTAGGAGCAAAGAAAGAGGAGAGGGGCAGTTACTGTCTTGGGCTGCGGGGGAGAGGGGGGAAAGGGTGGGAGGAGGAGGGGTGGATATCAGCCTCTGCAGCATCTTCCAGCATAAGCAGAGGTGACTTATTAGGGAAGGCTGGGCTGCTTCTGCAAGACTATAGGATGCAGTAGGGACTGCAGAGTCAACATCTTCAGGGGCATCCATCCAGGTGTCCCCATGGCATGTTTCAAGGTTCTAGGTTTTCCCTACCAAAACCTTGAATTTCACAAAATATAATGTGGCTAAACATTTAAGTCAAGTCTCTGAAGCTTTGTGATTGTAACAATTAGATGCTCAGCCTGAATCTTGGCTGTTTCAATCCTTCCACTGCAGGAGAAAAGGCCTCCTTATGAGCTCCTCAGAGGTCCTTTAGCTCTCACATTTCAGTATTAACAGCTTGATAACATCCCTCAGTCTCTCATTATCCTTCTATAGGTCATCAATACAACCAAGCAGTAACCAGCCAATTCTGTTTTTGTAGACACTGTCCTTTCTGTATTTATCAAACGCCTGCCTCATTGAACTTCTAGAGAATTCCTCTCCATGGGGATATTTGCCTAAGTTACCACCTGTTTCTGGGGTCTCTAAGACCACCCCCAGGTTGAGCGACTTGCTAGAAGGGCCCACAGGACTAACCATAGACCTATACTCACAACTGTGATTTACTACAGAGAAAGAACACCAAGCAAGATCAGCAAAGGGAAAAGGCACATGAACAAAGTCCAGATGAAATGAGCACGAGCTCCAAGAGTCTTTTCCCAATGGAGTCACATAGGATGAGCTTAATTCCTCCAGCAATGATGTATAATATGTATAAAGGACTGTCCACCAGGAAGCTGGCCTGAGCCTGGGCATAGGAGTCCAGGGTTTTTATTGTGCCCAGTCAAGTAGGCACTCTTTGCCTAGCATGTACCAAATTCATGAGTCCCAGAAGGAAAGCAGGTGTTCAACATAAACCCTATTGTCTGTACAAACATTTCAGGCACAGTAAACCACTCTTATCAATTAGGGAATGGGGGGGACACCCGTGAGATCCAAACTGCTGGACAGTAGCCACAGGTGAACCTCAGAAGCAGGCCTTTCTAAGGATAACAGGTTCAAGCCTGCTTTGGTAACTCTTTTCTGCACACCATCTGTGAAATATCTAGTAACTGAGCCATAACCTTGTGCCAGGGCCTATATGTACACCACTCACCGGCCAGGATGTCATCCTCTTCATCCTTTGGGAGGGAGATGAACCAGCTCCTAATCTCCTATTAACCTGTTTTCTCAGATCTCACTCCTGGTCCACTTGTGTTAGTCTGGGTCCTCCAAGAGGCAGACACCAAGACCAAGAAGGGATCAGCTATAGAACAGACTTACTAGGGGCAGTGCTGGTGAGGAAAAGCAGGGTGGGAGCTGGGGTTGGTGGGAGGCTGGGAGGCAACCAGCCCCTGATGCAGGCATGACCCCAGGTAAATGAAAGAAGGAAGGTTGGGTGAAAGTGACTTAGAGACTATAACGCAATCCTAAAGGAGTCTGGCAAGACCGTCAGGTAGTCTTCAAGCCAAAGTGAAGGAGTCAACTCTCTGCCATGCTCAGTCCCTGGTTGGCAGCAGCATGAGGCAGAGCCTATGCATTAATGTGGGGATGACCAGAGTGCAGAGGCTGGAGGGCCTTCAGTCCCTTATGTTCCTTCCTGCTGGAGAGCTGAGGGGTGCATTCTCCTGGCTGCCACGACCATGACTGTAGCTCTCAAAATACACCTGAAAAAGATTTGTGATCAAAACAGATGTTTAGCACCAACAGCACATGGTAATTTGCAATAATACCTTTCAGCTAAAAATTTTTTTAAAAGATTATAAAACCCCTTTAATAAAATAATCTTTTTAATTTAATAAAAAGAACAATATCCAATGTGGGTGAATTCTGGGGAAAAGACTTTTCCAAATTGCTTGGTGAATTGGAAGCTGACACACAGTGTATTGTATTAGGACTAAATCAAAGTTACTCAATGACAAAAAAATAAATACTTCTAAATGTTCATAACTCAAGTAATTTTCTGAAATATGGTTTACATTAATTAATACTTAGAGTAAAATACCATTTGTGAGTTTTTCCTCCTGATTGACCTCAGATACCCTTGATAAAGAAAAAGCATTCCTACACATTCTACACCTAGTTCTTAGGTTGACTATAAATGACCACACGTACAACTTCTGAGGCAAACAAACTGAACAATGTTTATAGATATTTCTAAAATTATTTTGTATACAATTTGTGAACTTCTAAATCATGTATGCTTAGATGATAAAATGGATAAATACCTTCTTACATAGTATCTAATAGGATTTGTTTTCTAATTTTTATCAATGCTATCCTCAAAGGCAACATTCGCCATCAATATTTGTAACATAAAACTCACCCAGGGAGACTAGAGTTTTTGCATCTGCTACGATTCAACAGAAAACTGGTCCCACAGCTGCTCTGGCAGCTCCTTCCAACCAATATGCTTTTAACTAATTCAGATTAAATAGTTCCTAAAATCAAACAGTTAATTCCTACTAAAAAAAACTGTTCTACCATAGTAACTAGGTTCAGCCTTTGCATGGACTTTATGACTTGCTGGTACAAATAACAGAAGCTACTAGAAATAAATAATAAATAAAATATATAACATGAAAGAATTGCAAAATGTTTATTTTTTTTAATGCGATTAATACCATTTTAATGTAGGAGAGGCCATCTTTATTTACAGGCTAATAAAAAAATACTAAATTCAACACAACTAGATATAATACATCTGTCAAAATCCTATAGATTTGAGGCTGACCCTATGTGGAAGACTGGATAGGTGGGATAGTGATTATGTAATAAGGATGTCAGAAATGTGCAACTTACACATGAATCAATATACTGTTTCTAAACATGAAAACAAAATAAGTCCATGGTGGGGGGAACAGAACCAGCACCAATGACAAGCTGGGCTAACTTTTGACAACTGTTCAGCTAAAACCATTCAGTTATATTACCAAGGATCAAAAAACTGTCATCTCTTTTCAATCTATTTTAACAAGTCTCATAACCCAAATGTTGTCTGCCATCATATTCACAACAGACACTTAGAATTTTAGAAGTTAAATGTAAATATATACACACATACATACAACCCTCACATTCTTGAAAATTTTTTCTCAGCTATTCTGTTTGTGTGTGCATATGTATATTTTTCTTTTTCCTTTTTAATTGTAATGGCTTTGCAACAGTTCTCTCCTTATCTGTTTGGTTTTGTCCTTGAAACTCGTTATGAGTTTCTTTCCTGTAAATGTGAAAACATAAAAACTGTTTCTCATTCAGTCCTTTGGGAAAAGTCTGTAATTCTTAGTTCATCCCCCAAAGACTATATATTCTAAAATGAACTTTTAACTGAGTACTTTCTAAACACCTGATGGGAATCTCATAGTAGCATCTGAGCTCTCACATAGGCCTGCAAAAGCAAGGTGAGGCAGGAATGAAATGGGAACTGACCTTTGCAATTTTAAACTACCTGGGAAATTTTTCATTCTGCTTATCACCCCAAGAAAGTTTGTATCACAACCATCTCATACAATTCTTCATATTACACGGCGTCCTCATAGAAATGCCAATTCAAGGCTCTAAAGAAAAAACGCTTTATAGACATATTAGTTCTTGAAAATCAAAAGGTGTTAGCTAATATTTCCTAAGGAATCAGTCTTAGTAGATAAAGGATACTCTCTGAAAAACTGCCATGGCCATCCCATCCCAGGCTGTGTTTTAAAAAGGTAAGATAACATGGTTTCAAGTCAAAACAAAAAGTTTTCAGATACGTGACAATGGAAAATTTTTTGACTAAATGAGTACACTGGCTAAAATCCAGTTTGCAGATCTCATGTCATGCATGGGGGCATGTGTTGGAGCAGGGGATGCATAAGGAGAAGACTTTTTTTCTTTTAAGAGGCCTAGCCTGCCAGGAGCAAACAATAACATGTAGCTTGCTTATTCAGTTATACAATTAAATACTAGCTTCTGCTTAGAGGCAACGCTATGCTACAAGGTATTTTAATATCAGTAACCATATATACTATGAAGTGCATTTCTATTACAAATTAACATGGTGATATACAGATGAACAAAACCACCCAAAACAAACCATAAATGAGCAACAGTTAAAACATAAAATTTTTAAATAGCAAAACCACCAAATAAAGTATATACATTTTATAGATTTACCTATGAACAAATATACAGTGCATCTAGGAAAGATAAAAGAACATGTTTTATATCACATAACATTTGAATATTAGAAAGAGATACTGATAATACTATAAAAGCCTTCTCCCAATCAATATTGCCTTCAACGTATGTCCTTTAAAACAATGATATTGGCAAAACTATCATCTCTTTAAATGCAATATTTTCACTTTCCCCTGCCCAGTACAGTGGCCTGCGGAACAGTAAATAAGAGAGCAGGCACTCCATGCTTATTCCTGGGATAAGCGAAGTAGCAATCTAGTTTGCATATGAAAAGCACTTTAGTCAAACAAACACAAACAAGAAAAGCCAACCAAAACAATTACCATATCAAAACATGTTCACCTTATCTTACTCTCCAGTGCCTCAGCTTTTTGGATGACTGGCAAATCAGTTAGGTACTTTCAGAGAAAACTGCTTTTGAATGTATCTCATTGACATGGTAATAAATTTGAGCTTTTACTGACAGAAAAGATGTATCTTTAAGTGCCAGGACTATCACAAGACAAACATTATGAACAACTCAAAATGTATAAAACTGTCTTTCATGGATTCCAGAAAAAAAGCATTTGTGACTAAACATTAATAACGTAATGCTCCAATACCATGCACACAAGATCAACATAATTGAGAACAGGTATTTTACACTCATCTGCATTTCTTCTAAAAACCTAAAATGTACAATAACTTTTCTGAAACTAACTCTAGTGCAGCATTGATTGATAAAGGATTGCTTAAAGAAAACTATTTTGTACTGAATGAATAACACTGAAAAGCAAACTCATAATAAATGATCATTAAGAACTGATTTAGATATCAGGAAGCACATTAAGTTAAAAAAAAAGAAAACACTAAAACCATTCTTTCAGTTAAAAAAAAATTAAGTCAAGCCTACATTTCTGCAATTCAAGTTCTGTCCTTTGAAACACCACACTTAACATTCTGGAATATACAGTATGAATTCATTTATTCTCTTATATTTAAAGGCTATTTCTTAAAAACATTCCAGTTAGCACTGTCCTTCTACTAAATGGAAAAGGAATCAAATAAAACAGTAGTGCTTCATTTAGTACTTAAGAGCCTAGTACTATCCTTTTGGGAAACACATGCTTTGGTGCTTTACAATTTTAAGAAAATCAAAATTACTTTCCATGCAATAGCCAATTATGGTATACCACAGAAAATAGGGAGTTTTATGCATTTAGAATTGTTCACGTGAAGCCCTGAGGTACCCGCCTTTCATTTAGGCAACAGCCTCCCTTGATCTTGTACAGTCTTTGTCACCGTCTTCCCTAGTGCCCCAAATTCAGAATAGTCTGATTAACAATCTTGTCTGGAGATAGTCAGTTTAATAAGATTTTTTATGATACAGACTGTGCAGATCATCTAATTTAGAAGCACCATCTTCGAGTGGAGTTTCACTTGAAGTTCCTAGGTCTCCATTTTCATGTCCGTCAGTTACTGCTTTCTTATTAAATCCTGAAAGAAAGAGAAAAAATCCAGATACTTTCTAGTTAAAAAAAAAAGTCATACTTCTATTGAGCTATAACAAAGGAATGCCCACTGTAATTAATAATAATATGGAGCAAATAATGGGACCCTAGATTAATCAAGTCAGCAATCTCTGACAAAGGAATTCTTCCTTCTTATAGCAGATATCAAACACTGTACAGATTTTTAAATATTATCTATTGGACCTATCTAAAAATTATATAAAATTTCCTACCAAATTTTCTATGAAACTTAGAACTGACACACACAATCCCAAAATTCAGTAAGTTCTACTCACACAAATACCTGTTGAACTGTAAACTGTATTTCTCTTTTACATTTTGCTTTCACATAATTTAACTTCAGTTCACTGAGGCACATACTAGTTTACCACTACAACTAATTTGTCCAATGTCCAGATAAAATTTAAAACTAATTTTGGTTAATCTACAAATAGTACACATATTTGAGTCACATTTTAAGTGGTTTGCAATTTACACAGGTGATAGAGAACCTTTTAGCCTCAGCTGCAAAAAGCAAGGGACAAGACCTCTAATCCTGACAAAAAATAGAAGGGTGAAAGACAACAAAAGCAAAGGAAAAGTAGCTCAACAGCGCAAGGTTTTGACATAGTGCCACAATCGTTTTGTTCAAGATGCACGGGGAGAACGATTGCTACTGCTGTCTTTGTATAGATAATTCACAACGTATAGATTTACCAAAAGGGCAACAGTTCATCAGTTCACTATAAAACTCTATGCCAGCAGTTCTCAAACTTTTTGGTCTCAGGATGCCTTTACACTCTTAATAAGTACTGAGAATTGCAAAGAGCTTTTGTTCATGTGGGTTATTAATGTTATGTGAGGTACTGATGTTTACCATATTAGTGATTAAAACTGAGAAATCTAAAAAAAATTTATTACTTTATTAAAAATGATAATAAACTCCATAAATGTTAACATAAATAACATATTTGTTTAGTGAAAATAATTCTACTTTCCAAAAGATTTAGTCAGAAGAATATCATTATTTTACAGTTTTGCAAATATCCTTAATGTCTGGCTTTACAGAAGATAGCTGGATTCTCATATTTGCTTCTACTCAATGAGTTGCAAGTATATGAAGAAAGTTCACCCTCACACAGATATATAGATAGAAGAGGGAAGAGTAAGTCAGCTTTTTCAGATAACTGTCAATATTCTTCTTTGATCGTATACCAAAATTTTACAGTATAGAATCTAAAACCATATCAATGAACTTTCACACTCTGCTACATTAAAATCATTTGTCTATCTTGCACTTTGAATGGCTCTTTTACCCATGCAGGATTTAGTAACATCATGCACTGGTCATTTGAAAAATATTAGATCACTGAGTTACGTAGCAATTGCAAAAGCTGACACATTTCATTTTACTATATCCAAAAAATCACATTCGTTAATATCACCACCAATCTTATTAGAAAAGTTCTTTAAGCGTCAGGAAGCTGTTGAGCTCATGGTGGTTGATGCGTGTTTTACAAAATTCTAATTTTCACTTGAAAGCTCACGTTTTATCATTGGCAATAAATAGTCAGTTGTTCTCTTTGAAGTGATGGATTCACTTTGTTCATTTTAAAGAAAATGGCTGCCAAATAGTCTGAACAACCATAGTTTGTCGGTCATTCTTTCAAGTAAAAATTGTCGTGCTGTCATCCACGAAAAAAATGACTAGTTCAGCTAGCAAATTAATCACTTAAGTACTTTTCCTCAAGACCAGCATCTCTCTTCAGCATACACTCAGTAATACAATGCATACTTCCCATTTCATCACACAGAATATTAAAAAGTCATATACTCAAGATTTAATAAAATTAGCAGTTTTTACTATTTCATCAAGGATATTCTTAAGAGAAACTGGCATTTTCTTCTTCTTCTTTTTCATTCTGAGTGGATGGCAAGGAAGAACACAGTGATCACTAGTAAAGTGGTACTACTGCTTTGACTCGCACTAAAGTATCAATAGTTTTACCCCCATTGCTTTTGTACCATCAGTGCAAATATCAACACAGCAAAAAAAGACAAACAATGCCTTAGTATTATTATGAAAAGTTTTGACCTCAAGAACCCCCTGAAAGGTCTCAGGGTCCCACAAAGATCCATGTATCACAATTTAAGAACCACTGCTCCATGTAAAAGAAAGTGCTAGAAATTTTCTTTAAAATATGTATAAATGATAGCAAAGGAACTAAACCAAAAATCCTCAAGATCACATATCCTGGTTCTATTAATAACAATCGTAACAGTCTAATCACTTATTCATATTTAGCCTGTAAAATCATTGCATTATGAGAGAAGAATGCGCATTACAACAGCAAGATGACATTAAGATGTATCTACTCTAAAAGGCATGTTGGTCTTTGTTTCAGAGTTTAGAAAACTTGAATTTTATTTATTTTTCAAGGATCAGTTATAGTTTAGTAATTGGTCACGTACTTGTCCAAGATGACTCTAGAAGAACTTACATGTAAATAAAATTTTGGTGTAGTTACTGGTGTACAATAAAACTATAATTTAGCAAGGGAAAGCTATCCATTTTGTTAATGATGGTTTCCCCATCATTAAAACAGTGTTACTAAAGAACAGCTAAGGCTTTTATATTTTTAAAGTTTATTAATAATAAATACATTAATTATAACTTTTAGAGTAATTTTTACCTTGTAACACTTTGATTTCCCCACTTGTGTCTTTGCAACTAGCACCAGGATTACTACTTCCCTCTAACTCATCAAGGTACAAACGGTAACGATGTCCACTCTCATCTTCATATTCCACATTTTCATCATCAGAATCCACTTCAGGAGCCACATAAACTACTTCAAATTCAATCTCTCCTCTCTAAAATGGGGAAAGAAAATGAGGAAACCAAGTTACTGTAATTATAATTTTAAAAGATTTCCAAATTCTTTGTGGTGAGAAGTAGTAGTTGGACCTCAGATGTATCTCCTTTCAAGACAACAAATAATGAAGTTTTAGAATCTCAAGAGGTAAAAGTAATTTCCTTTTAATATTACAGATTTTTCTATTGATCAAAATATTTTTGTTAACAGACCTAAAATAAAAAAGGATGTTTATTCAATTTACAGAATTTTGGAACAAATGTTCAGTTTAAAAGTCATTTTGCCATTTTATACTTTCCATAATAGCAATTCAGCAAACCCATCTAAATAGTCAGATATTAAAGTTGCACCTAAGGGTACCACACAAACTTTTCTCTAATTCAAGAAACCTCTACACAATGATTTCTTGTTTCTTACTGAATAGGTCTTGAGCCTTTCCTTAACTTTCACTGAGTGCCAAAGTGTTAAGGTATTCTGTTCAGTAGTAATAGTAATTACTGTATTTATTGTACAAAATTACTATCTTTCAATCCTCAGAATAACATTATTATAGTCCCTTGTACATGAATGAGAAACCTGAGTTAGTCTTGGAGAGAGCAGGTAACTCTCTCAATAAGATGAACAAGTAAAACAGAAAAAGAGAAATTTGACTCCAAAGTCCTTGCTCTTTCTACTATACTAGACTAAATGTGTAGTATTTATATTGTAATTCTTTAATAACAACTTTATGTTCAGGTAAAAAGTTACAGATTATTTCACGTTAAAAAAATTACAAGCTACAACTGTCATTTAATAAGAGACTACAATCACTATTCCCAAGTCTGGTATTTATAATTCTCTGAAAATTATAGCCTGCCTTTGCTCAAAAGAAAGCATGCCATTTTTTTTTTTTATTGCTACTCACTAAGTTAGTCTCTGCTGCTCCTCTTTCCCAGCAGTTTAAGGTTATACTTCAGAATTTTAACATGCGCTTAGTGTTTCCATACAACTTTGTATCTCATGAACTGCATCTCATGAACTGCCTGTTTACATCTCCTTTACCACAGCTGCTGTTCATCTCACTCTTACGCTACTGGATGACAGCCAAGTTGGGCTGAGAAAACACCAACTTAAAGAGACTAGCACTGCATTCTTAGGCAATGCTTTAAAAATACCATTTGGGGGGAGATGGTAAATGCAGTGGTCTTCAGTAAAGTTCTCTAGATGACAGAATCAGGTCTGTGGGTAGCTGTCATGAAGAAACAGATTTTGTGCTTAATATGAGGAAGAGCTTTCTAAAAATCAGCAACGTACAACAATGAAATAGACTGTTTTATCACCAACAAGTCCTCCCTTTAATACAATTATTTAATTAGTGATATTGTAGATATTTATGCATCACGTAAAGTTAAACTAAATGAGCTATAAATTCACTTTCAAGTCTGAGATTCAATTCTACCCTGGCATACTATGCTGATGATCCAACAAATATCTCAATGTACTAACCAACACCTCTCTAATTCCCTCAACCTTATTCTTGAAGGAAAAAAACAAAACAAAACAAAAAAACATTGTAAGTGCTCTGGATAACAAATATGACTCCTGGATATAACTCTCAACTCTTTATATGTTCTGCAACCTTAAGCAAATCATTTAATTTCTAAGAAGCTTAGTTCACTCATTTTAAATAAGAGGGTTGGGCTAAATGATTTCTAAGGACCCTTGAGTGCCAACATTTATGACTGTAAAATCAATCCACTTCTAACATTGTTTTTTCTATAGTACTTCATATTTGTATAGTGTTTTAGTCATTAATAATGTTTTGCCTTCTAAGAGCCAAGTCCTGTTCTGAACACTTTATATGTATTAACATACTTAATCCTTACAGCTCTCAGATGAGGACACTGCAGCATAAAGGACTTTAAGTAACTTGCTCAAAACTATACAGCTGTGAAGAAGAGCAAATCTTTTTCAGTAAATCTGGCTGAATGTCTTCTATAATAGGAAACTAGTATCTATATATATACACTTTACTACTTGAGAAACCTCCTAGGGAAGTACAAAATATTCAACAGATTCAAAAAGGAACATTCAACAGATCCAATTTTAGTTACATAAAGGGTACTTACCTGCTGGGAAAGAATGGTTACAGCTTCTTTATGCTTTGTGTCCCTTAGGTTAACTCCATTAACAGCCAGAATAGCATCTCCGACATGTAGCCCTCCACATCTATCAGCAGGTTGCCCTGGGTGAATCTCAGAAATGAGGATTGGAACACCATGTTCCTTTCCACCCTAACCGAAAAAAGCAGTAAATTAGTTTACCTTTGCATAGTCACAGACTATTCTACTGATATTTTCCTAAGAACATTTCAGTAAGCACCTATACTATCTCTTATTATAAATACTGAGTGAAATTCTATTTGCTATTATATTTAGGTAATGGTAAATCAAATTATTATGAATATCAAAGTTACTTCTAAATAAAACGATTAATAATATACATGTGCTTTTTAAAACGCATTCCAGAGCCAAAAAAAAAAGAACCCTAAAAAACCAAAAAAACAACAATTAGCTACTCTCGTAAATAAATAAATAAATATATTTTATGTATTAGTAGTCCACAGCACTATTAGATTTTATCAAATCTGAGTCACTATGAACGGTAAGACAAACCATTATTTTATGTTCCACAAAAATAATTATAAGATGAATCTCAATTTCACAGATGTTAAAATGTGAAAAAATATGCAACACAAAGTTGATGAAATGCAATGTTTGGTACATTCCACCTTTCTAGCTTTTAATCATAATTGTCTGTGTGTTGTTACCCATGGGGATAAATTTAGTTATTTAGAAAATATATTCAGAATACTTTTTTTCCCAATGATGTCCAACAAAGGAGCATGATAATACTAGACAACTGTAGAAAAGAAGACTGGAAGCACTACTTCTTACTGTAATTGAAATGCCAAGGCCTTCATGATCTTCCTTAAGGAGGAGAACTTTTCTAATTGGACCAACACCTTGGCTTTTCTTTAAAGAGTCTTGATCCTTATTGAAGGAAAAAAAGAAGAAAAATTAGTACTACTTAAATAATATACCATATAGAATAAACCCATACTATTATAACTTGCTTTTAGGAATGGATACACAGTATAGTGTTAAGAAATTAATAAATAAAATGGGAAAGCAAAAATAGTTCCTCTGTTAACACGGTGAAATACAGATGATTTTCTCACGCTCTTATTAACTTCTTTAATACATCTGGTACATCTCTTTTTAAATTGTAGGACATTACAAAAGAAATCACTGTCAGGAACTGATAAACAAATATCTTCAAGAAATGAAAGGAGGTAACTTTATCTTAACTGGAAAAATACCTTAAAGATCTATATCCATTTTAACTGATTTGTAGAACTGAAAAACATAATGCCAACTGGATCATTAATTACTTTTTCATTTCTTTGCGTTCTGGAGTCTACCTCTTAACTAAAGGACTTTGTTCCATTAATAATTCTTTCTCTGGTACCTTTACTCTTTCCCTCTCTCTACAAGCTCCTTCCCTAATTCAGCACATGAAAAAACTCCAGGTCCAGCTAAAGCTCCAGCTTTAAAATACTGACCATGTACAAACACAAAACAACACAGATAAAAACCCTTCAATCACCCACTGTCTTCTTTACCTACTATCCTCCCTCCATCTTTCCTTAACCGGCACACACAGTTAATCCTAACTGTAGTTACTTCCTTGCCTCCTACATTCAGTACTCCAACCACTGTAATTAGGGTTTTGCCCCCACTTGCTGCAATGAAACTGTCTTCTCTACAGTCACTGGTAACGAATGTGGCTACTTCCAATGAATATGTTTGTTAGTCACTGCCCTTCTGAACCTTGCAGAAAGTTGATACTGTTCACTGTCCCCTCCTTGAAACCTTCTCTTTTCTTTGGTGTCTATTATACTAGTGCTTTCCTAGATGGCCTATATCTGATAGCTCCACCTCAGGCTCCTTCCTTTGGTGATCCATTTCCGTCCCTCACTCCATAAAAGTCTCCTTCCATCTTTTTACTTTCTATATATTTTCCCTGGGTGACTTAATCAATTCCATGGTTCAAAGGATGACTTACCTAATAATCTTCAACTCAGAATTCTCTCTAGAATTCCAGAGCCATATATCTAATTGGATATAACTTGGCCGTCCCACTGGCACCTCAAACACTACATGTCTAAAACTGATCTCATCATCTTTCTGCCAAAATCTTCCTTTCCCTCTATTTGCTTTATCAATGCTTGCCATCTCACTCAGCTGCCCAAACCAAAAACCCACATTTCCTTCTCACTCACCTAATTAACCAAAAGCAGTCACCAGATCCTCTTGATTGTACTTCTCTCAAACCTGGCCCTCCTCTAACCACTTTCTCCTTATTTTAATATCTTTCTAAATGTAACTCTCCGACTTCAGTTAGGCCCTCTTCCAATATATCCTCTTCACTATACCAAAGTAATTGTCAAATAAATATTAAATCTTATTAGTCCACTATTTTATTGAAAAACCTCATGATTATCAGGTTAAGGTTCAAATTCCTTTATTTAGCATAAAATAACATTTATGATCTGGCCACTGCCTAGAAGTTAATGGGGACCAACAGTGTCCCAAAGTAGACAATGGCATAAGTGCTTATTGCAATCACCACTCCTCTCCCACCAACTAGACATACATATCAATTTTTCTTGCAATAATCTTTTCAGAGGCAACAAATAATTTTACTATTCAAGGTCAGGCTTTATGTGATACTAAGATATGTGATCCACTGGGTAGGAGTTAGATATGATTTTATTATATTAAGGTTTCTATCATTAGGCTGCTGTTGTAGTGAAATTTAATAAATTTTTATCCAAGTAGAAAGAAAACCTCCTGTACAGTGGTGGCTACAGAAGCAGACAATTGGACACAGACCTCAAATTCCATCTTAATGCAAGACCAAACAGTTATAAATGTTAGTTGAGAAACTACAAATAAATCTAGTTACTAAAAGTCCCCTGTAAAGAACTATCCAAAAATATTTGCCAATTTATCAATAGGATCACACGCTCTCTGCTTAGCTTAGAATATTTGTAAACATGCCTAATCAAGATTCAGGAAAATTCTGAAATATGAGCCAAAGCAACATGCATTTGCTAGCAATAGTTCACTGTCTTCAGAAATATCATTTTCGGGCATTAGTAAATCTGTAAAGAGCTATATGGGTTGCTGAAACTTTAAATATGTACCTATTTTAAATAAGTTTAATTCACTTTTAAATAAAGGTTTTAAATACTAGTAGAATTTTTTTAAATGCAAAGGACTTGTGATTAAAGAAAGGGCAAGGCTTAGTGAGAAACAGCAGAAAAGCAAACATACATGGCCTGGTGGTGCATGCATCGGTCGCTTCAGGTCATTACGCCCTCTACAGGCTCTGATAACCGTTTTGTGACGATGCAAATGTATTTCAGCTTCCAACTGGTTCCAAAGCTTATCATGAGCAGGTCCCTTCATATCTCGTCCTAGTAATTGTATTTGTTGGACCCTTCATATTGGAAAAAGAATTCAGTTAGTTTTTCATTATACATACTATAGAAAGAATTCAGAAGAATTACTGAACACAAGTAGTTTTTGCATAAATCTAATTCAGTAATAAAACTAATACTCAGGAACCTCCTGATGTGTCTCAGATTTAGAGACATGAAAATTCTGAGAGACAGGTGTCTTCAAGGGAAAATCAGTTTAAAAAAAAAGAATGATTGAGACCATCTTTAGTCACATACTTAATTCATATACATCTCAGAAACAATTTAAGAGACTAATGTCAATTAACATGTTTCATGTCTTGCATGCAATCACACTAGTCTTTAGGTGGGGCTAACTGTACAAAACATTTTTTCCAATGAGAGTATCTTTTTACAAAATGATTATTTCTTTAAATGTGGTAAAATTATTAGAAAATGTGCACTTCAAGATGATATAAATTATTTTTATTTGTTCCACATCAGTCCTTAATATGACATTAGAACAATAAGCTGAAAATTATTTAGTAATAATAATGAATCACCAAAGTTTGTGAATAATTTACCATAAAAAATTAATGCAAGCAGAACTCTGTATTATTATGATAAAACCACTGTCATTCCAACATGTTTTTGAGGGGCAAGAAAGACTGGGTTTCAATGATCACGGAAAGAATTCCTACGGAAGTCCTGCCGTACATGGGAACGTCATCTGTTATGGTGTCAAGGCAGGAAATGGTAAAAAGTGCAGCTCTAAGAGTTGTTAGCATTTCACAGTAATTTACTAGCAGTGTGTGTGTGTAAACCGGAAATACTTATTTAGTATGGCTAAATAAATTTGCAATATGTAATGCTATCAATATTAAGTTAACAGTAAGGTACAGTCAATGATAAAATCACTCTTAGGACAAAGATTAATATTTCATTTACCAGAAGAGATAAGAGTCAACCTCTTTAACTATGCAGTTGGTCACCTAAGAGCACAGGGGTACTCATTTTCCACGCACCTCCCTGCCAGTTCCTTATCCAAGTACTTGGCAGCTAGTCTTGCCCCATAAACTTCAGCCTGGAGAACAGCTATATGTCTACGAAGGGCTTCATTCTCTTTTCTCAGCAACTTCACTTCAGCTTCAAGTTGAGCTTCTTTCATTTTCTCTTTTTTGTTTGCTTCAAGCTCTCTTTCCTATTGCAATTTTTTATAAAAAATAATGCAATGAATACACTTTTAAGACTCTTTAGCAATAGACCATGTTTCTTAAAATACACAAAAGCACACAATCTATGATACCAACAATGAAAGCATATGATAAAAATTACCACTCCGTTCCTATAAAATGGAACACAAAGATTTGGATCCAGTTTTTTTTAAACTAGTACCAGAAGGTGTTGGAACCACTTCTAGGTAAGATAATAACATGGCTTGGGGCGCCTTGATCCTGAGGATACGAAGATTAGTAGCCTTCTCTAAGCTCATGTTATCACACACTAATAGTAATGGCTTCAATGGATAATTAAATCTACTCCCTACTTCCTAAAAATGACTCTAAAACTAGACCAAAGTAATCACTCTGGTGGTTGTGCCCAAACATTTAATGAACTTTAATGCAGCAATTCTATAAACAGGTCAAAGCCATTCAGTGACGCAGAGATACATTCTATGACCAATTTATCTTACAGCATTATAAGAAACTGACAATGCTTAAATTAGAACAGATATTCCAATTCTTTTAAAACATTTTATGGTCATGGAAAATGCTGGTAACAACTGCATTAAAATATTTACACATTAAAAAATGTCTATACAGAGAACAGACTTGTGGTTGCCAAGTGGGAGGGAGGGAGAGGAATGGAATGGGAGTTTGGGGTTAGTAGATGCAAACTATCATGTACAGGATGGATAAACAACAAGGTCCTACTGTAGAGCACAGGGAACTATATCCAATCTCCTGGGATAAACCATAATGGAAAAGAATATTAAAAAAGAAGATATATGTGTGTATAACTGAGTCACTTTGCTGTACAGCAGAAATTAGCACATTGTAAATTAACTATACTTCAATTAAAAAAATATGGCTTATGGTAAAAAATATCTATAGCATAGATATCTATAGTATAGTATCTATGTATATATATCTATGGTATATCTATGGTATAGATTATCACTGAACTTTGGGATCTGGATCATCTATTTGTCCATATGTTAAAGTGACTGAAGAACTGTTTTCTGAGGAAAAATACTGGCCTCACTTGCCTACTATGAGGTTGGATGGATATTCATTTTTACTCTCAAAAAAGGATGCCATCCTATGCTCCACTTGGTAGATAACCCATATATATGAATTTATAGGTGTTAGCCAGAGAATATAACTTTAAGATCTTTGCCATCAAATTTTTATCACCAGCTCAAATGTGAGAGAAATAATTTTCAATATACCTTCAAAGTATAAAGTACAGTGTGCCTATACATCAAGGGTTACAAATGTAAATACCTTTGGAATTCAAGCACAGAACAGATAGGCAGGTACAAGACAAAGTGGAGGGGAAAACAGAAGGTACAAAATCCTGCCTAAAGGGAGTCAAATTCAAACACACACACACACACACACACACACACACACACACACACACAGACTGTGTGGCAAAATAAAACCCTTCTGAGAGTTGGACAAAAGATCCTTTAAGTGTTATTTTTGGATCAAGAGACCCATCCCAAATTTGAGTGGAAGTGTTTTACTGACTTAGAGAACTGCTTTTACTGACTCACTATGTACAGAATCTATAAAGCCTGTGAAAATAGTTATATTTATTGATGAGATGTGGATGACACTGTTCACTACACCATGTCCCCTTCAGGAGATTTAAATAAAGATCTACATCTCAGCACAAGAAGAATGTTTCTCTTGAGTGAATGGCAAATGATATTGTTTCTAATGTATGAGTAGTGACTATTATAATTATTTCCCTTTTTATCGTGAATATTAAGCTGAGAAACAAATGTAAGCAAACTTTTAACAATTAATGGAATGTATTTGGTAGTAATTTCAATGTTTGCTTTGATCTACTGTTTTGACAACAGCATATCAATATATGACATATTTAAACATCAATATATGATATACTCAAATACAAGGCAGTGAGTACCACAATCGTAAAAACAGTAACAAAAAAAAATACAAACTAAAATGAATGACAACTACCAAATGTTGAATATATTTATCACTTCCTTGATTAAAATATCTGTCATTATATATGTGATAAACAAAAGGAAGATTAATTAGCATGCTTTTTCAACTTCTGTAAAAAAACAAATATAACCATTAGAACACAATTTGTAGATTTAAAAAAAATTATTTTATTTTATTTTACTTTTTTTGGCTGCACCCCACAGCCTGTGGGATCTCAGTGCCCCGATCAGATATCGAACCCATGCCCCCTGCACTGGAAGCACGGAGTCTTAACCACTGGGCCGCCAGGGAAGTCCCTAGATTTTTTTTTTTTTAATCTGAAGGAAAACCTCAGTTTGGACAACATGAACAAAAATCTTTTTTTATGACATTTACTGAGGTTAATGCTGTTTGTTTCATAAAATGAGTTCCTAGAAGACCAAGAATTTTTTATTTACGGGCTAAATAAATTTTATGTTGAGGATTATCTACTTACACTTTAATGAGCTATTTATATAATATTTATGAAATCTGAGAAACATATTAAGACACTACTTTGCTTTAATGATTTAAACCCCTAATGAATCTGACAAACTTGCAGACCTGAAATTAACAGATGCAAGCAAGAACAGGACTAAGAACACTGAAGTTAATCACTTTTAGATTTTTTTTTTTTTTTTTTCCCGGTACGCGGGCCTCACTGTTGTGGCCTCTCCCGTTGCGGAGCACAGACTCCAGACGCGCAGGCTCAGCGGCCATGGCTCACGGGCCCAGCCGCTCCGCGGCATGTGGGATCTTCCCGGACCGGGGCACGAACCCGTGTCCCCTGCATCGGCAGGCGGGCTCTCAATCACTGCGCCACCAGTTAAGCCCTCACTTTTAGATTTAAAGGAAAAAACCTTTTTGTTTTAGTTAACCTGTTCATCATTAGGTAACAACAAAGAAGTTAATTTTGTATTCCGATATCCAAACAGTATATTTTCAAAAGAAGAAAAGTCATATGACAATTTAGAACCTGATTAGGTTGAAGTAGTGGGAAAAATATTAAGAATTTATATATTGTTATTTTCCAAAATAAATTCTAATAAAGGGTTTCAAAATTCAGTTGTTTCAAAGGCCACACAATTATTCTCAAGACTGATGAAAAGTTATAACACATGCAGTGGATAAATAAGAAACCAACATGCACATTCTTTCTCTGGGAATAAATTCAAACAGAAAAGGAGGAAAGAGCTAGGCCTGCATAAGGAAAACCAACTGTTCTTTTGAAGTAGCGTATGAGCAAGTTACAAAGCTCAGAAGTTGTCAAACGCTGATGGGTTCTGCAAATAATGGCAACAAATCACAAACAAAAGAAAAATCTTTTAACAACACAAGGTGAAAAAAGAGCAATGGGCTACTCGCTGAACTTTTCACGTATTGGCACATTAAAAAATTACCATCATTAATATCACTTTCAAATACATACAAAGTGACAACATGTACTATGCAAATAAAGCACTAAGAACATTTCAGCATAACATATTAAAGCAAAACAGAAATGGCATACTTACCAGCTCCTCCACAGAGGGGACAGACTTAAGATATAAGAAAAAAGTTTTATAATTAGAAAAACATCAAACAAATGAATTTATTTAGTGGTACAATCATTACAAGGAAAATTCCCACATGTTGAATATCACTTGGGTAAAGTTCATTAGAACAAATATATTTGCAAATCCATAAGCAATAGTAACTGCACAGGATTAGATTAAAAATGTTTGTTTTATCGAAATTAGTTAACACACCTGGTTCAGTGCCTTTCCACTACAGCACCATGTTTCAAATCTAATGTTAAAATGTCAGGTGAATCCTTCTCTAGTGAAATTGTACATTGTTTCTCAATGTTAGTATCAAACATTCCAAAGAAGCAGTTATGAATCTGACTCATTTCAGTTAAATAAAACACTAATAATTTATATTTATAGAATTTCTGAATTTAAAAGGACTTTAGGAGAATGTAAATATTCATTTAAATAAATTCTAACATATCCTTATTAGAAACTAACCAATTAAACAGAATTAACTGAAAACGAGTAAAACTCTGAACTGTATTACTCTCATCATCAACATCATTTCATCTTCTGCCTCTCCCAAGCTTTATCTCTTATTTACTGTTGTACCCCCTATAGTTAACAAAGTGCCTGGTACATAGTACACAATACATATGAGGTTAAACAGAAATGAGACTTTAAAAAAATTCTATTTCAACAACCTACATTGATTAAGAGGGCAATAGTTAATTATGGAACATTTACACAATGAACATTATGCAAACATGACAAAGCACTCAGTGGCAGGGAAGATACTTATATTAAGAGCAAAAGAAAAAATGTGCCACCGGTTGGCACCCCATTCCATTTTCCTCTTCTTCCTTATTAACAGAACTCCAATTTTACTGGAGGTGGTCATGTGACCAACTAAGGGAATGACATGCAGCTAGGGATAGCCAGTGAGACAGCTAAATGATTGGCAAAAAGCTGAGGAGGATTCCGTGAAAAGGTCTTTAAAGAAAACTAATGCAGCTGGGAAGCATCATTTTGCCCTTAGATCTTCCTGCTTCCTACCTGGAATGCAGATATGAAGAAATCCTGAAGACAGAAACCATGAGCTAAAGATGGCAGAGCAGAACAACAAAAGGAAACTGGATCCCTGATATCTGTGGAGCTGCCATATTAGCTCTGAATGCCTGTCTCAGGGCTTCTTTAACTAGGAGAAAATAATTTGTACTATTTAAGAATAATTCCAATGTTACTTGGGATTTCTGTTACATGTAACTGAACTTAATCTTAACTGATACAGTAGGGCAAAAAAAATGTTTATATGTTATAATCACAAATATCTTTTAAGTGTATTTATGATAGATCTTTATAAATAGGAAGAAGATCCTATTCTAAGTACCAATTGGTTATTGATGTTATCACTGATCATCTCCAGGTAGTAAGATTGTGGATGATTATGATGACCTTCACATTTCCTGTATTTTCTAAATTTCCCAGGAGCACATATTAACTTTTATAATTAAAAAGACTCATTAAAGATTGTCCTTTTCACCCTCTAAAACACATATAAATATATGTTACCCACTAAACTACTTACCAATTTTGCCTTAATGGTACCAGAGTCAACACTTTGACCAGTTTTAGCATGAAGCTGAAGCTGAATAGAGTGCAATTGTAAAAGCTGATCATGTACTTCTTTCTCCAATACAACTTTCTCTGCTTGGGTCTCTGTCAGTTCAGATTTCAGATCCACCAACTGTGCCTTATAAAAACAGCAACAATAGCAGAAATTAACACAGCGTTGTAAATCAACTATACCTCAATAAAAAAATTTTTTTAATAAAACAGCTACAATAAAAACATTAAGTATGCTTAATTTTCTTTATTTTGACTCTAATAATTATTATTCAAGAATGACATAGGCTATCTTTGAAATGAATAGATGAACACTAGAAGTCCATTATTAACTGTAAGCTACAGCTAACTGTTACACTGTAGCAGAACAACTCATCAGAGCCACTCAGCCATTCAATCTGAAGCTTTTCATTTTTCACAATCGATACATTGTTTTACAATTGCAAACAGGACATATCCCTTGTGTGTGTTTGATCTTCCCAACTAACAAGTGGGTTAAAGACCAAGGCAAGGCCTTAGTTTTCTACTGAACATAATTTTACTAATAAGCATCTACGGAGCCAACAAGTATGCTGGTTCAATGAGGGGAAAAAAATTGTGGAGAATACTTTCTAAATTATAGGTGATAATTATTTATGCCCTTGAGAAGCTTCCTTATCAACTGAGGTAATAAATATGCATTCGAACCAACTAAAGAAAAATGTGTGGCAAGTTACAGATATATTTAGAATCGGTCAGGTCCCAAGAAATTCAAAGTAAAGGAAGGTTTAAAGAAGGTTAGTGAGGAAAAGAGAGTTTAGAAGGGCTTTGAAGTTAAATGACAACAAGGACAAATAGAAGCAGTAAAGCAGTCAAGAGATGAGAAGACTAGCAAGGGGAGACAGACTAGAAGCAACGTAGGTAAATTCTCTGAGTAGAGAGACCAGAGAATTAGAATCTACCTAAATATCCCAACTGCACCAACTAGTGCCTACTACATAAAAGATGCTCAATAAGTATCTTGAAGTTGAAACAAATTCTAATACTAGCCCTGTGATTCCAGATAAATCACTGTGTCCATTCAAGTTTCCCTGATTTTAAAATAGGATAGTATCTACTAGGTATAAAAGATACAAGGATGTAATATACAGCAACAAGGAATATAGATAATATTTTATAACTTTATATGGAGTATAATCTATAAAAATATCAAATCACTCTTGTTCATCTGAAATTAATGTAATATTGTAAGTCAACTATACTTCAAATAAGATTTTTTTAATAAATAAAAATAGGGATAATACCCATGGCTTTGACTATTTTCATATTATTAATCTTATATATGAAAGCACTTACTAGAATATGAAGGTGTTATTAGCAAGGAGATTAGACTACTGAGAGGGGCTGTACATTGACAGACTGCACAAAACTGGATAGGAAAGTGAGGCTAGATACAACAAATGGCTTTGGATGATAAACCAAAACTGAGATTAAATCTGGTAGGAAATCACTACATGCTCTCAATGACATTTTTGTTTTTGTTTTTAATAACAGCTTTATTGAGATATAATTCACATACCATTAAAACTCACTCTTTTAAAGTGTACCGTTCAGTGACTTTTAGTATAATCATAGAATTGTGCAACCATCAACACCATATAACCGTGGAACATTTTCTCTCAATGACGTTTTAGCCACATGATATGTGCAGGTAAGGAGGTGAAGACAGGTACACTAGCAACACCCTACATAGCTTTCTATGGAATACAATTCTGGTGAGTATATATCTAGGAAGGAAACTTCTGGTTTACAGAGTATGAATATGTTAAACCTCAGCAGAAAAGGCCAGTTTTCCAAATGGTTGTAGCAACTGACATGCCCACCATATATGAGAACTCTGATCGTTTCACAACCTTGCCTTCATTTGGTATTGTGAGTCTTTTTAATTTTAGCCATTCTGGTAGGAATGTAGTGGCATTTCATTGTGGTTTTAATGAAAACTTCTTGATTACTAATAAGGTTGTCCTTTACTGGGTATGAGTTACAATTGCTTTCTTCCATTCTGTGGCTTGTCTTTTTAACTTTCTGAAAGGTGTCTTTTGATGAACAGAGTGCTTAACTTCAATGTAGCTCAATATGTCAGTAGTTTCCTCCCCCACATTAAATGCTTTTTGACCTGAATTCTACCTTATCTGTTATCAAGTTTGCAACTCCTACTTTCATTTTATTTGCATTTACCTGGTATAATTTTGTCTATTTTAACCTTTCATCATATTTTTCATTTTATAGCTGTAAATAGCACATACACATGTAAGGTCTTAACTGCTCATTGCTAGATTTTAAAATATATTTTTAGTATTCTGGAAACTGTAACTTTGTTTTAATAATTACTTTTAGATAATATCCTTAATTTCCTCTTTAGATTATATCTAAGATAACATCCTTGCTATGAACAGTCACGAAACTATTAGCATTTTCTTCCCCCTTTTCTTACTCTTCTCCAGCATCTTAATAAAGCGTTATCTTGCTATTTCAGCTAATAACTATGAGCAATCATCAAGCTTATACTACTTTCAAGATACTCTTTTCTCCCATTTTCGGTAGTTGCACTATATTTATAATACAGAGCATACAATATGTAATGTTTAAATATTTTCTCATCCTTAACACTGATAGTCTTAGTTCCACTATTAAATAAAGTCTATACTGACCACTTGACCTTCTACCAGAGCTGCTCCTATGAATTCAACTCATTCTCTAGCCTTGTAGATTTCTCAGAAAGCTCTCATAACAGTATTCTCTGATTTCTGGCATGTTCATAACTATTTATTTGTGGTCTTTATATCTGAAGTCAGTTTGGCTGCATATAAAATCTTTGGCTCATATTTTCTTTCCTTGAGTATTTTAAATATGTTGCTCCTTTGGCTTCTGGTATGAAACGCTTCTATTCAAATGTCCAAAATCCTAATCTCTTCTTTCTCTTATAAGTGACTTGATCTTGTGTCTGCTTTATTTTTAGTCCCATATTTTACTAAAATGTAGCATGGTGTTAATCATTCTAGGTCCATGTGTACTCTTCTCAACATGCAGATTCAATGCTCTGTTATAGTTTTAAAGAGTGAATTGGTTGGTAATTTGTTTTTTATTGAGGCAAAATTCATATCACATTAAATTAACCATTTCAAGTGAACAATTCAGTGGCATTTATTATAATCACAATGTTGTGCAGTCACCATCTGTATCTAGTTCCCAAACATTTTCATCACGCCCAAAGAAAGCCTCGTACCTGTTAAGCAGTCACTCCCCACTCTCTGTCCCCAGCTTCTGGAAACCACCAATCCACATTTTGTCTCTATGGATTTAACTATTCCAGATATTTCATATAAATGGAAGCATTCAATATGTGACCTTTTGTGTCTGCCTTCTTTCACTCGGCATGTTTTCAAGGTTTATGCATATTATAGCATGTATCAGTACTTCTTCACTCCTTTTTAGAGCTGAATAATATATTTAACTATAAAAATTCAGGTATAATATATTCAGCTATATAGTCCACTGTATGTACATACCACAACTTGTTTATCCATTCGCCAGTTGATGAACATTGGGCTATTTCCATCTTTTGCCAATTATGTTCAGTGCTGCTATGAACATATGTGTACATATATTTGTTTGTGGACGTGTGTTCAATTTTTTGGGTATATACCTAGGAGTGGAATTGCTGAGTCATATGATAATTCTATGTTTAACTTTTTAAGGAACCATCAAACTGTCTTCCACAGTGGCTGAACCATTTACATTCCTACCAGCAATAAATGAGAGTTTGTTGATAGAAGTTTTAAATATTGGTTTTGTTTCATGCTTCTTCAGGGACTCCAATTATACTAATATTAATTATTCTTTCCCTATCTTTTATATTTGCAATTTCCTCTCAAATCCTTTCTGTTTTCCCCTTGTATATCCTCTTCCTCTTGCTGTACTTACTGCACTGCCTATTTTTTACACTTCTTCCAAATTAGGATCCATTCTGAAATGATTTTTTTTCCTATTTTTTCCCAAAGTTCTGCAAGTATTTTTTATTTTTATTTATTACTTTATTTCTGAGTTTTCCTATCTCTGAATTATTCTGTTTTATTCATAGGTGAATAACATTGTTAATTTCCTTTATTTTATAATACAGTTTACAGTTTCCAACTGCTTTGCAGCCTTATTTTTCTGATATGCCTTCGTTCTCTGTTGTCACATTATTCTATTAATTTTTACCTTTTCTGATTACAGTACATTTATATGGGGTTTAAATAAAATCCTTTTCTGTTACTCATGTTTAAATGAAATGGGTTTTCATGTCGTACATGTTAGGTAGGAGGAGACTTCCATGGAGGGGTTTGAGGTGAGCAGAGGGAGCTTTCCTAGCTTCAGGCTAGCGGGCTCCCACCCCTGGCCTTAAACTGAACTATTTAAAACAATGGCCTGTCTGTAGCCAGAACTACTGTTTTGCAATCAACCTCCTACGTATGTATTCCTCCCCTATCTTGAATACAAACTCTCCTCACTTCAAACTTCATGTTTCTGCCCTGCTGAATTTGGATTATATTTCTAGCAGTGTTTCTTCAGAATTGGACTGTCTTTCTCAAAAGCAGTTCTGTTAGAAATTTCTGAGATTCTGAAAGTCCACCCCAAGTACTTTCTCGTCTTACTGCTGCTGCTTAGTGTGTCCCCAGGGTTGTTTTGCATTCCCCTGCAACCTGGTGGCAGTTTTGCCAGTTGTTCTTAGATCGTTTGCTCAAGTTTCCCATCCAAAGTGATGTCTTCTCCTTTGGGGCTCTGTTAGTGATTTCTGTGCCTGGGTCCCCTTGCTATTATTTATTTCTTTTGCCCCACAGGTGCTCATCCACATGCACTCTGTGCTGGTCCTGCTACCCTGACCAACCCATGTTCTGGGGTTTGTGAGGATATGCCCTCCTCATTTAGTTTTGCTGCAGAGGCTATCACTGGGTTTTGTGGGGTGTTTTTGTTATGCTAGTTTTTCTGTTTTTACAAAAGATTTTTTAAAATTTAAAACTATCAGTCCACTGTGATCCTTCTCAGACCAGAAATCCTCAGCTCATGTTTTCATTGCAATAGAAAGGCTGTGATATTCTAGTATAG